TAAACGTCTCCCCCTTACTCTCACAGATATTGTGGAGCACACAGCAAGCAGTAATAACAGTGGGAATATTGATTTCGCTGAGGTCTAAGCGAGTCAGTAAACTGCGCCAGTGCGCCTTTAAACGTCCAAATGCACATTCCACCACCATTCTGCACTTGCTCAGCCTGTAGTTGAACAGCTCCTGACTACTGTCCAGGCTGCCTGTGTACGGCTTCATGAGCCATGGCATTAAGGGGTAGGCTGGGTCCCCAAGGATACATATAGGCATTTCAACATCCCCAACAGTTATTTTCTGGTCTGGGAATAAAGTCCCTTCCTGCAGCTTTTGAAACAGACCAGAGTTCCTGAAGATGCGAGCATCATGCACCTTTCCCGGCCATCCCACGTTGATGTTGGTGAAACGTCCCTTGTGATCCACCAGAGCTTGCAGCACTATCGAAAAGTTTATGTGGTTTATGTACTCGGCGGCTTGGTGCTCCGGTGCCAAGATAGGGATATGGGTTCCGTCTATAGCCCCACCACAGTTAGGGAATCCCATTGCAGCAAAGCCATCCACTATGACCTGCACATTTCCCAGGGTCACTACCCTTGATATCAGCAGATCTTTGATTGCGTGGGCTACTTGCATCACAGCAGCCCCCACAGTAGATTTGCCCACTCCAAATTGATTCCCAACTGACCGGTAGCTGTCTGGCGTTGCAAGCTTCCACAGGGCTATCGCCACTCGCTTCTCAACTGTGAGGGCTGCTCTCATCTTGGTATTCATGCGCCTCAGTGCAGGGGAAAGCAGGTCACAAAGTTCCATGAAAGTGCCCTTACGCATGCGAAAGTTTCGCAGCCACTGGGAATCGTCCCAGACCTGCAACACTATGCGGTCCCACCAGTCTGTGCTTGTTTCCCGAGCCCAGAATCGGCGTTCCACAGCATGAACCTGCCCCATTAGCACCATGATGCATGCATTGGCAGGGCCCATGCTTTCAGAGAAATCTGTGTCCATCTCCTGATCACTCACGTGACCGCGCTGACGTCGCCTCCTCGCCCGGTATCGCTTTGCCAGGTTCTGGTGCTGCATATACCGCTGGATAATGCGTGTGGTGTTTAATGTGCTCCTAATTGCCAAAGTGAGCTGAGCGGCCTCCATGTTTGCCTTGGTATGGCGTCCGCACAGAAAGAAGGCGCGGAACGATTGTCTGCCGTTGCTCTGATGGAGGGAGGGGCGACTGACGACATGGCTTACAGTGTTGGCTTCAGGGAGCTAAAATCAACAAAGGGGGTGCCTGTACATCAAGGAGTATTTCAGGCAGGACTGCACGGAGGGTTCCAATAGGAAATGGTGCACCTAAGTTATCGTTCTTATTGGAACAAGGAGGTTAGCCTGGCCTCTGATTGATACATGGCTAGATTTACCTCGCTGCACCTTCTCTGTGAGTGACTGCAGTGTGATCTAGAGGAATGAGTCCCCTAGACAGGGGAGGAGGCAAATGAGTACAAAACAAATCTGGTCTATTTCTTGTTCTGAGCCACTCCATCTATCTTTTACATCTTTGGCTGGCAGCAGACGGTGCAGAAGGACTGCATGCCATCCACATCTCATGGCTGCTCGGCAGAAGATGGTACAGTACGACTGCTAGCCATCTTCATCTCTTGCCTGCCTGGCAGAAGATGGTACAATACGACTGCTAGCAATCCTCATCTCTTGCCTGCCTGGCAGAAGATGGTACAGTACGACTGCTAGCAGTCCGTATCGCCTGCCCGCTCACCATAAGACGGTTCAATAGGACTGACTGCAGGACTAAAGAGAATGACCTGGTCAAGTCACTCCAAATTTAGTCCCTGCGCCCATGTCTGCCCAGGCGCTCCCAGCCGACGTGGCCAGGAGCACCTCGGACACGACGAGGACGACTACCAGTCGTATTGCCCCGTCTGCTGCCAGAAGGCAATGGGTTGCTGCTACTGTGCAGCAAAGCCGTACCGCGTCTGCCAGCACCCAGGAGACATAGGGTGACGGTTACCTGAGTGGGCTCCATGCTTGCCGTGGTGTGGCGTCTGCACAGGTAACTCAGGAAAAAAGGCGCGAAATGATTGTCTGCCCTTGCTTTCACGGAGGGAGGGAGGGAACGGGGGCCTGACGATACGTACCCAGAACCATCCGCGACAATGTTTTAGCCCCATCAGGCATTGGGATCTCAACCCAGAATTCCAATGGGCAGCGGAGACTGCGGGAACTGTGGGATAGCTACCCACAGTGCAACGCTCCGGAAGTCGACTCTAGCCTCGGTACTGTGGAAGCGCTCCGCCGAGTTAATGCACTTAGAGCATTTTCTGTGGGGACACACACACTCGAATATATAAAACCGATTTCTAAAAAACCGACTTCTATAAATTCGACCTTATTCCGTAGTGTAGACATACCCAAAGCTCTGAACAAAGGACTGAATTACCCATCCAAGCTTTGGATGTGTTCCAGAGGGATTCTGAAGCCAGCACACTCACCAATACTGCTAAGAACCTGATATATGGACTTTGAAGTCTCTGAATGTATCCGATTGCTTTACCATTTAACAACTATCTTCTTGTTCTTTCTTTTTTCCTTATAATAAACCTTTAGTGTTAGACACTAAAGGATTGACTGGCACCATGGTATTTTAGGTAAGATCCAAACTAATATTGACCTGGTTACGTGGCTGACCCTTTGGAGTCAGAAGAACATTTTTATAGTGAGCAGAGTTTTTAAATAACTTCTCACTGGACTGGTCCTAGTTGCTGATTGGGAGCCAGAGAATTGGAATGCAATAAAGGGGGCTGTATGATTTCTTTTTTCGCTTCTCAATAACTTGTGGGGGGAATCAGAAGCACAGTTTGTGACTGGTTGGTGAGTTTAACTTCAGTGTTAACCACCAATTTTGGGAGTGTCTGCTTTCCCTTTTGCAGCCTGCCCTGACCGTGGCATTTTCAGTGAGGGCTGCCCCAGGCACAACGGGTCACAAAAGGATCTGGAGATAATGGTGGATTACAAATTGGATATGAGTCAACAATCCGATACTGTTGTGAAAGAGACAAATGTAATTCTGAGGTGTATTAACAGGAGTGTTGTATGTAAAATACTGGAGGTAATTGTTCAGCTCTACTCAGCACTGGTGAAGCTTCCCCTGATGTAGTGTTTCCAGTTTTGGGCACCGCACTTTAAGAATGATGTGGACAAAATGGAGAAAGTCAAGAGGAGAGAAAAAAAAAACCCTGAACTATAAGGAAAGATTGGACATGTTTATTCTAGAGAATTGAGGGCTGAAGAAGGATAATGTTCAAATTTATAAAAGGTTATTATGAAGAGGAAGGTGATCAATTGTTTTTCAAGTCCATGGAGGGTAGGTCAAGAAGTAATTGGCTTAGTTTGCAGCAAAGGCGATTTTGGCTGGATATTAGGAAAAAACTTTCTAATTTTAAAGATAATTAAGGACTGGAACAGGTTATTTAGAACTCTTGTAAAATCCTCATCATTGGTTGTTTTCAAGCACAGACTACACAAACATCTGTCAGGGTTAGCATAGGTATACTTAATCCTGCCTCAGCACTGTGGAGGAGGAAGAGAAAGACTAGATGACCTCTTGAGGTCCCTTCCAGATCTATATTTCTATGATTCTATAGCAGTATAAAAATGCTTATATTGGTATAGCTAAGTTTATGGTAATAAGCTATACTAGGTGTGGCCAAACCGCTGCTCATGAGCCACATGTGGCTCTTTTATAAAATGCGGCTTGCAGCACCTCCCTCCCCATTCTCCACCTACCAGACCTGGGGAAGGGGGAACTCAGAGCTTCTGCCCTGCAGCAAGGTGTCGGGGCTAGGGGCTTCTGCCAGAAATGAATGGTGCCTGCTGAGAGTGGGAGGGGCACAAGTTAAAGGTTTGCCCCCCCCACCCCCAACAGCCTCCCCTTACCCTCAGTGGTTCTCCCTGCGGCTCCCAGCTATTTGCTGCTGCCTTTCCCCATGGCCATAGCTCCCAGCTTTCCAGCTCCAACAGCTGCAATGTAGGGAGGGGGCCTGGCAGCACCATGTGACCAAGCAGGGCCAGCAAATCCTGGCAAAAATCTAGGGGCGGGACATGTGCCCCCCTGTGCCCCCCACGCATTGCCTCTGGCTTCTGCCTAGCAGGGAGGCGGGGGTCTTGGGGCTTCAACCCCATGGGGCACGCCTTCTGGGGCTCAGGACTTCAGCAGGAGTGGGGCTGAAGCCCTGGGCCTAGACAGGTGCCTCCCCTAGGGCTGAAGCCCTGAACCGTCCTGGGGCCAAAGCCCCAAGGCCCACCACCCCGCCGCAGAGCTGAAGCCCTGAGATACACCACCCCGCCGCAGGGCTGAAGCCCCGAGACCCAGCAGGCGCGCCCCGGCTCTTGAACTTCGGAAGATTGTTGTATGCGGCTCAGTACGTTTGGCCCTCTGAGTTATATTGATAAATGTACCTTTATAGCGCTATAACAGTGTCCACAGCAAGGGGGTTGCACCACTTTTACTATATGGGTTTCTAAATCAATATAGTAGTGGAACAAAAATTGTGTGTAGATAAGCCCTTAGATGAGTTTAAACCAGGCTTACTCCGGTTTAGCTTGTGTCAGTAAACACGCACATGCTAAACAGATATAACCAGTGTTAATTTCACACAAGAGAGTCCACACACAAAAGCTACAATGGTTTAACTAACCTGGTTTAAGTTAAACCAGTGCAATTTCTGTGTGTAGACAAGCTCTCATTTTTGTCACTTTACAGGATTGGGGCCACTGAAAAGTTCTGCAACTTTTACAGCACCACTTAGATCAGCTTTTATGCACAACCAGATTGTGCTAGTAAATAAAATTACGCATATTCTGGGCTCTTTCCTCCATCTCACTCCACCCCTTCCCCCAAGCTCGCACCCCAACTCTTCCTGCCCCGCCTCTTCCCGCCCAGTTCCATCCCCTGCCCCGAGCATACCCCGTCCCTTCTCCCTCTCCCCACCAGCGCCTCCTGCACACTGCAGAACAGCTGAACCATGGCAGATGGGAGATGCTGTGAGGGAGGGGAGTAGTTGATTGGTGGGACCACTATGGGCAGGAGGTGCTGGGGAATGGGGGGAGCTGGTTGCCGGTGGGTGCTTAAGCACCCACTAATTTTTTTCCGCCCTGGCAAATGCATGTATCTTGGTTGGGAGCTGCTTGCTTCCTATGGGCTCTTTTCTCTTCAAGCTGTAGGAGCCAGCTTCTCTCATTGGCTTTGATACCCTGATAGAGATGATGGCGCCACCTGTTACGATCACTTGCCAAGATTTCCCATTGGTCAGGATCAATTCCAAATTCCTTCATATCTCACTTGCATGTGTTTTTATAGCAAAGCTTGGGGTGTCCTGTTCTTGTTCCCTCTGATAGCTCCCCATATAGCATGTCCTTGGGTATCCATCTGTCTTCCAACCTACTCAGATGGCCCAGCCAGTGCAGTAGTCTTTGCTTGAGCAGCGCTGTCACACTAGGTAAATTTGCCCTTTGAAGAGCCTCTGTGTTGGTGTCTTTATTTTGCCATTTGGTGTTGAGTATGTGGCATAAACAACGTAGGTGGAAACTGTTTAACCTTTTCTCTTGATGAGCATAAGTTGTCCATGTTTCCCCACCATACATGAGAGTGCTGAGGACGCAAGCTTAGTACACTAGCATTTTGGTCTTTATGGTAAGTTTTGAGTTGTTCCATGCTCTTTTAGTTAGTCCGCTAAAGGTGGTGGCAGCTTTTCCAATGCGAACATTTAGTTCTTCATCCAGTGAGAAGTTGGTGGTCACTGTAGAATCTAAATAGAAGTAGTCCAAAAGTTCAGCTATCAGGTTTGTATTTAAGGTAACTGAAGGATCTTGTGGAACCCCCTGTCATAATACAACCATTTTTTTATGCTGATGGTGAGAGCAAATGCCTGACAGGCACTTGAAGGGGGGTCCATGAGTTCTTGTAGTAGATCTTCATTGTGGGCTATCAGGGCAGAATCATAGCAAATAGAAGTTCCCTGATTAGCACCTTTTTGACTTTGGTCTTTGACTTAAGTCAGGACAGGTTGAAGAGTTTCCCATCTGATCTTGTGTGGTGATACACTCCGTCTTTGAAGAAGAAAATTCCAAAGAGTGTAGGGGCAAGAACACATCCTTGCTTCACTCCACTTTTCATCTCAAAGCTGTCTGAAGTGGACCCTTCAAATTGGACAGTTGCTTTCATATTGTTGTGGAATGAACATATCAGACTTAACAGGGTTGGTGGGCAGCCTATCTTTTCTAGTACTGCAAACAGACCTGATCTGCTAACTGTGTCAAATGCTTTGGTTATGTTCACAAAGGTGATGTACAATGGTTGGTTTTGCTCTCTACACTTTTCTTGGAGTTGACGCAGAGAAAATATCCTGTCTATAGCTGATCTTCAAGCCCCGAATCCACACTGTGATTCAGGGTAGACATGATTCACCAGCTGTTGTAGGTGCACTAAGGTGACTTTTGCGAAAGCTTTTCCTGTTTCACTTAGGAGCGAGATACCCCCTTAGTTGTTGCAGTCACCCTTTTTGCCTTTATTTAGGCATAAGCTTTCATGGGTAAAAAACCCACTTCTTCAAAGCTTATGCCCAAATAAATTTGTTAGTCTTTAAGGTGCCACCGGACTCCTCATTGTTTTTGTGGATACAGACTAACACGGCTAGCCCTCTGATACTTTTCGCCTTTGTTTTTACGCAAAGTGATGATGTTTGTGCCACGCCTCTCTTGTGGTAACTCACCCTCTTTCCAGAATTTAAGTAGCAGCTGATGAAGATAAGGTAATAGCTGTCTTTCCCACTCTTGAGGATTTCTGCTTGGATGCCATCTTTTCCAGGAGCCTTGCCACTTGACAGCAAATCAATGGCCTTGCTTAGCTCTTCTACAGTGGGCTCCGCATCTAGCTCTGGCATGACCTGTAAAGTTGGTATTTGGTCCAGTGAGTTGCTGGTGATATTTCTTTCTTGTGTGTATAGCTCTGAATAGTGTTCAACCTAATGAGACAACTGCTTGCTTTTATCTGTAATGATTCCAATGTAACTTTACTGTGCCTCACTGGCTCCAAACTTGATATGTAACTCTTTCTTCTGATTAACCATGTCTTTGTGATTTGTCCTTTAGCCTCAGCTTTCTGTTAGTCCAGGGACAAGGAATATTTTGCCTACAGGATCCTTGTGCTGTTTTGTGAGGTAACACTTTGTTTTTCTCACGCCCAGAATAAAGCAGTTGGCCAAAGGCAGAATCTCCTATGTTCAGGCCAGAGTACTGGATCATTCCCCAGAAAAACAGCACAAAGTTTCTATTTTGATTATGATACTTATAGCAATAAGTGAATTAAAAGCCAATGTAGGCCAGTGACTAGATCATGGGAGAAGAAGTCAAGACTCCTGGGTTCCATTCCTAGTGTGTACTCTCATTGTAAGATCCTTGGCAAGTCACTTAAATTCCATGCTTCACTTTCCATACCGATAAAATGAGGCTCTAATACTTTTCTACATCACAAGGGTATTTTGAGGTTAAATTAGTTAATGGCTATAAGGGACATAGAGAGTCCCTTGCATGGAATAGATGCTACAGAAGTGAATATTTTTTCACTAAAAACGTTAATGTTAAAACTCACTGACACAAACTAGTTTCTCCTTTGTAACGCTGACAAATTTACAATTTAAATAAGACATCTGAACTTATGCCACTTGATTCTGCTGTATTCCCCTTTCAGATTTTGTAGCTGATGTAAGTATGGGCAGTGTTTAATTTGTAATGAAAGAGGAGACGACGCTCAAGCAATTTTTTACTTTTATAACTGGCATGGCAAGCCCAGAGGTGCCACTAGGTTTATGAACTGCCAAGCCTTGAAGTGCTGGCACAAATTAAACCCTGGGTATGGGAGCACCTGGAATAGATTAAAAAATCTCTTGAAGTACGTATGCTATGATGCCCCACCTCATTGCAGAGACTCCTGAAACTTTGAGGGAAGCATCCATGAAAACCCCAGATATATTTATTATACCTCCCAGCAAAAATTTCCAATGTGCTTATATGACTGCATTTCTTAAGTGAACCTCTATGTGCTTCAGCAGCACTTCTATCTGAAGACATACACCTGCAGAGACCTCTTATAAACTCCTCCTCCTGTGAGGCCTCTTTCCCCTCTGTGGTTTCCATTATATATTCCATACTTCCTTATACTGCAAGAGATGGATCTTTTTCTACTCTTCAGGAAAGGCAGCCTCATTTTGAGTCTAACTGAAATAAACTTTTAAAATAAGTATTTTATATGCTAACCAATGCAATGCCATCTCAGGTTTAGCGAAGTTGCTGGAAAAAGGCTGCTTCTGGCCCTTTAAGAGTTGGAAGAGAAACTGTTCCCTTGCTGAACCTAATTGGCAAATGAATGCTCCAGTTAGGGATCAGCCAACTAAGAGTGAAGCAACAGAGATGATGCAAAAAGAAAAGGAGTACTTGTGGCAGTACTTAGAGACTAACCAATTTATTTGAGCATAAGCTTTCGTGAGCTATAGCTCACTTCATCGGATGCATACTGTGGAAAGCATAGAAGATCTTTTTATACACACAAAACATGAAAAAATGGGTGTTTACCACTACAAAAGGTTTTCTCTCCCCCCCACCCCACTCTCCTGCTGGTAATAGCTTATCTAAAGTGATCACTCTCCTTACAATGTGTATGATAATCAAGGTGGGCCATTTCCAGCACAAATCCAGGGTTTAACAAGAATGTCGGGGGGGGGGGGAGGGGTAGGAAAAAACAAGGGGAAATAGGTTTCCTTGCATAATGACTTAGCCACTCCAAGTCTCTATTCAAGCCTAAGTTAATTGTATCCAATTTGCAAATGAATTCCAATTCAACAGTCTCTCGCTGGAGTCTGTTTTGAAGTTTTTTTGTTGTAATATCGCAACTTTCATGTCTGTAATCGCGTGACCAGAGAGACTGAAGTGTTCTCCGACTGGTTTATGAATGTTATAATTCTTGACATCTGATTTGTGTCCATTTATTCTTTTACGTAGAGACTGTCCAGTTTGACCAATGTACATGGCAGAGGGGTATTGCTGGCACATGATGGCATATATCACATTGGTGGATGTGCAGGTGAACGAGCCTCTGATAGTGTGGCTGATGTTATTAGGCCCTGTGATGCAGATGATGCAGCCTCCAGTTGTGGGAGACTGTGGGTTAAGGAAGGTTAAAGAAGAGATAAGAACTTTTTGCTCTTCCCTGATAATTATACAGAAACAGAGTATAACGGTTGAGAAATTTATCTAGACAATAAGGGAAGGAAGTAAGTTAGAGCAAACTGCAAAGAAAAAGTTAGCATATTCTAAAGGCAATCTGCAAAGGGGAATGATTTGGCTTATGTCCTTTCCCCCTCATGTTGTATACACAAGGTCTAAAAATGCTTAAAAGGTGGCTTTGGTCTTTACCTTAGAAATACATGTCTTGTCTGCCTTGGAAAACTAAGATGAGTAAAGAATTAGTGATATCACTAAGAGAATGAAAGCTGAGCTACTGAGAAAGAAAGGGGTTTATAGTAAGACTGTTTAATCCTTTTTGTGTTTAGCTTCTGTGACTTAACACTTTGTTAAAAATGAACTATTTATTCCAAAGCAACATCTTTGCATCTCCAGTTAAGATGTTAGAGTGTATAACAAATATGCTTGGAGTCCGCCAATTTGGCATTCCTGATCTAAATGAATTCCTGAGGTAAGAAATAAGAAGAAAAAATGCTTTGGTGGTTTTGTGTGACTTTTAGGCCACCTTTATACATCAACAGAAGGAAAAAGAAAAGAACAGTATTTTAAAAATATTAAATCCATTTTACTTCTAACTGGCTTAGAAAACATGGAAATAGACCCAGTTGAGACAGAAAGCATAGAGAAAATACCAATTTAGTAAAACTGAGAAACTTCTAAGAGCTGTACAAGCAGACAGCACCAGTGTCAAAATATATTCAACAACTGGAAAGTCCCTGAACTGTGAATAAGTACAAAGCTGATTCCTTCTCCTCATCCACCTCCACATTTTACCTGATCAGGGTTTGGTCTGCAAGATCTTTTTCTAAGCTGCATGCATGTTACTAGCATATTCATAGCATGAAAAAGCACTGGAAATAATATTGCCCCAGGACACCAGCCAATTCTTTGACAGTCTTCCCTCCATCCCTATTGGCTGTCACTCAGAGATTCTCTACCTTGTGTAAAACTGCTTGTGCGGCTTCCCCTGTAGGAGCAAAGGAGAGAGAAGAGGGTCCCTTGCAGCTCATCTCTAGCTGCCCAAACCTATCTGTATTCATCCAAATGGATAACTTTTCTTCTTTTTCCCTGCACTCATCAACTTGTCTCCAGTCAGACAGGCTAAGATGAACTGCTCTAATTATTTCCATTTTTATGGGAGAGCAAGAGTTAGAAAATGCTAACTCGTACCCCCACATCAGGAGTTGGAGGAGGAGGGGTTTTGTTGTTGTTTTGTTTTTTTTGCACCAAGTGGGAATTGAACTTCTGAAAATCATCCTTATTGGCCTTATGGGGTTAATCCCGGGAACATTTAGCCGTATATTGTCAGGCTAGAAGTTGGTAGAAGAATGAGAGCAATAGGAATTCACAGGTTTACCACAGTTATATTAAAACTCAGCTTAGTATCAGGTAGGACAGCCAGCATCATCATAGTACAACAGTTATCATGGCCACTTCCTTTTTTTTTTTCTTTTCCTTGAGTTCTTTGGCATTAGGACACTCACACGTTCTTGTCAACTGCTGGAAATGGCCCATCTTGATTATCACTACAAAAGGTTTTTTTTCTCTCCTGCTGGTAATAGCTCACCTTAACTGATCACTCTTGTTATAGTGTGTATGGTAACACCCATTGTTTCATGTTCTCTGTGTATATAAAATCTTCCTACTGTATTTTCCACTGCATGCATCTGATGAAGTGGGTTTTAACCCACGAAAGCTTATGCTCAAATAAATTTGTTCGTCTCTAAGGTGCCACAAGTACTCCTGTCCTTTTTGCGGATACAGACTTAACACGGCTGCTACTCTGAAACCTCACATTTAAAGTGAGTTAACATACATTTCCTTATCTGTTACTTATACCCCAGGTTATTAAAACAAATTTAAAATATCACTTACTTTTCACTTCTTTTCTTTCTGTATCTTACTCAGTTTGGACAATGAAAAAACTAGGGACTTTCATTTCTATTTCTAATTAGCTTCATTTACTGATTCTAAAGCACCACAATGCTGCCAAGGAATGGCTTAAATTTTTTTTTTAAAAGTGCTTTCATTTGAATTAAAACTGTAATGAAAATACTTTTATTAATACTAAGTTTTGTAACAGTTTCCTCTCAAAACATGTTGGGCCAAACTGCCTGCTGAGTGGCCCTTTTAATCTATGGACTACATTTGTAAAAAGAGTGAACAGAAGTGAAGGTCCAGAGAAAGACGGAGCCAGCTCTGGAATGTTAATGCCTTTCCCATCAATTGTAGAGCTATTTCCTGAGAGAACAGCCCTGTTACATGTAGGGCACTACTCAAAGTTACAGCTTTACGAAAGCTCATGCTCAAATAAATTGGTTAGTCTCTAAGGTGCCACAAGTACTCCTTTTCTTTTTGCGAATACAGACTAACACGGCTGTTCCTCTGAAACCAGCTTTACTTAAGACTACTGGTAGGTGATCTGAAATGCTTTTAAAAATTGATTTATGATCCAAGTTCAACAGAATACATGTGTATTTGGCTCACAAATTTAAAATACAGTGTTATTAACTGAGCCTTTTTACCTGTCAGGACCTGAAGTAAAGATACTGTCTCTCCAGGAGTTCAGGAGATCACTTGCTTTAAGAAAAGGAGTATTTGTGGCACCTTAGAGACTAACCAATTTATTTGAGCATGAGCTTTCGTGAGCTACAGCTCACTTCATCGGATGCATACTGTGGAAACAGCAGAAGACATTATATACACAGAGACTGTCATAAATATAAAGGGAAGGGTAAACCCCTTTGAAATCCCTCCTGGCCAGGGGAAAGCTCCTCTCACCTGTAAAGGGTTAAGAAGCTAAAGGTAACCTCGCTGGCACCTGACCAAAATGACCAATGAGGAGACAAGATACTTTCAAAAGCTGGGAGGAGGGAGAGAAACAAAGGGTCTGTGTCTGTCTGTATGCTGCTCTTGCCAGGGACAGAACAGGAATGGAGTCTTAGAACTTTTAGTAAGTAATCTAGCTAGGTATGTGTTAGATTATGATTTCTTTAAATGGCTGAGAAAAGAATTGTGCTGAATAGAATAACTATTTCTGTCTGTGTATCTTTTTTGTAACTTAAGGTTTTGCCTAGAGGGGTTCTCTATGTTTTTGAATCTAATTACCCTGTAAGATATCTACCATCCTGATTTTACAGGGGGGATTTCTTTATTTCTATTTACTGCTATTTTTTATTAAAAGTCTTCTTGTAAAAAACTGAATGCTTTTTCATTGTTCTCAGATCCAAGGGTTTGGGTCTGTGGTCACCTATGCAAATTGGTGAGGCTTTTTATCCAACATTTCCCAGGAAAGGGGGGGTGCAAGTGTTGGGAGGATTGTTCATTGTTCTTAAGATCCAAGGGTCTGGGTCTGTAGTCACCTAGGCAAATTGGTGAGGCTTTTTACCAAACCTTGTCCAGGAAGTGGGGTGCAAGGTTTTGGGAAGTATTTTGGGGGGAAAGACTCGTCCAAACAGCTCTTCCCCAGTAACCAGTATTAGTTTGGTGGTGGTAGCGGCCAGTCCAAGGACAACGGGGGGAATATTTTGTACCTTGGGGAAGTTTTGACCTAAGCTGGTAAAGATAAGCTTAGGAGGTTTTTCATGCAGGTCCCCACATCTGTACCCTAGAGTTCAGAGTGGGGGAGGAACCTTGACAGAGACCATGAAACAATACCTCCACTTGCTTTAAGACTTTGTTGCAGGGAAAACATGCACCCAGATCTTAGGTCTTGGCAGCTAAGTAAAGAACTTAATTTTTGTTTTAAAATTTGCAAATAAATATAGTAGATCTTTGCTTAGCTTCTTAATGATTTGGAGTCTTAAACAGGTTCTTGGCTCTCTGAGATATTTTAATTCACCTTTTAAAACCCCTTACACTTTAAAAGTTTGAGTCTTGTCTGGTTCTAGCCTCATCTATTTAATTACCTCTATTTCAAAGGTGTGATTTTATTTCTGTTCCAACATTAAAGATTTTAAAATAATTTCTCCTTTCATGGGGTTGGCAGATACGATCAGTTCTTTTCCTGAAGGGAATGGAAGGAAGTTAAGATGCAAGGAGGGCCTTGAAAATGAAGACTAGTTTGTTTGCTGCAATAGGGAAAGGGGAACCAGTGTAGCGATGCAAAGAGGGGTGACAAGCTAGGGCAATGATCTTTGCAGCAACATCTGGAATGGATATAGCTAAGGCAAGCCCGCATTTGTCAAAGCCAGAGAAAAGGACATTGTGGTAACTAAGGCTATGTCTACACGGCAAATTACTTCGGTCTAATTTACGTCACTCAGGAGTGTGAATAATGCACACCCCTGAGTGACGTGTTATACCAACCTAAACGCCAGTGTAGAAAGTGCTATATGATCAGGGGAGCTTCTCCCACCAACATAGCTACCACCTCTCATGGAGGCAGGAATTATTAAGCCTATGGGAGAGCTCTCTCCTGTCGACTTAGAACGTATTCACCAAAAGCGCTACAGCAGTGCAGCTGCATCAGTGCAGCTGTGTCCATGTGCAGCAGGTAATGGAGGCTGGGGGAGACTAAGCCTCCTGAAACCTCCTCTAATGCTCTCCGCCACAGCCCTGGGGGGCTCACCTGGACTGCTCTGGGTGCCAGTGGGCCAGCCCAGGTTCAGGGCTGGTCCGGGTGCCAGCTGAGGTGCGGGGCTGGCCAGCAGACTGACTGGTAGTGGGGAGGGGTCTTGGGTGGAAGTGGCAGGGCAGGGGCCTAGCCTCCCTGAATGAGGGGTGCACGCGCTGCCCATGGCTGTGCCGCTGTAGCTGCTGTAGTGTAGATATAGCCTGAGATAATGAGGTCCTTAATAATGAGATCATGAGAGTTTCAGTTGTGTGGATGGATAGGAAAGGCAGTATTTTAGATTTTTTTCTGCATAAGATTTGACCTAGATTGACACAACCATGATGTGAGGATTTAGAGAGAATGCAAAGTTGAATGTTCTGGGCTTGAGAGACAGGGATGGAGGTGTTGTACATTCCCTGAGAAAAGAGGGATTGGAGGATTAGGAGTTCTGTTTTGGCCATGAGTATAAGCTAATGGCTGCAGGTGCACAAGGAAATGTCAGAGACAGGCTGAGGCTTCAGTTTGGATAGAAAGAGACAGGTATAGAATAGATGTGGATCTATGAGCTCTCCACATAGAAATGAGTTGAATTTGCAGATTAGTTTATGTAGACATAAGGTATAGAGGGTAAAGAGAAGGGGAACCATAATGAAGCCTTCTGCCCCCCGCCCTTCCCCAAATGTTGGAGTGGGGAAACAAGAGGATGCTCTGAAGACCATACTGAAGAAGTGATTAGAGATGCAGAAGGAGGACCAGGAGAGGACTGAGTCATGGACGCCAAGGGAGAATAAGATATCAAAAGAACACCATCAGTGGTATCAAAGACAGCTGACAGGTTGAGGTGAGTGATGATGGAGTACTGGTTCTGAGTTTAAAAGCTTTAGTGAGGCATTTCATTGGAGTGCAAGGGGTAGAAGCTAGATTGGAAAGGGTCTAGGATGGATTTGGAATGAGGAAACAGATAAAAGGGAGAGAGATGTCAGTTGGAGAGAAAAGTGGTTCAAGGGTGGCATGATTTAAGATGGGAGAGACTGAAGCATGCTTGTATTATGAGGAGAGAGAACCAGGGAAGAGCTGGAGGTTAAGGAGAAGGATAAAGGAGGAGATAAGAGTGGGTGCAACAGAGATCAGGAGGTGGGATGGGGTTAATGAAGATGCTAGAGGACAAGAGCAGACAAACTTCTGTATCAGTGACAGGGAAAAATGAGTTGTAGGAGGGGAAGGGAAGGTGAGGAAAAGGCAAAGGGCTTGTTGCATTTTTGTCAATTTTTCTCAGAAGAAACTGGTGAAATACTGTCAGAAAAGTGGAGGCAGGAGGAGGTGGGGAGTGTTTGAAAAGAGAAACAAAGATGATAAAAAAGACAGCTGGGATTTCAAATGGGAGATAAATTATGGTGGAGAAGTTGGAGTTGCTTAGTTAGGAAGATGACAGAAGTTTAGGATGGGGAAAATGTGAGAAATGGGAAATACTGAAGCATTATTTTGACCACAGAGGGTAACTCTATAGTGGTTTTATTTTTATTAACACTTTTATTAACACTTCTGAAGTATGTAATTTTATTTAATTATATTGGTTAACATTGGATTGATACCTCTCACTGGGCAAGACAGCAATGTAGCAGGTCAAGATCAGGCCTTATGGATTTTTATTTATTGGTATCTATAAATAAATCCCGGCTGAGGACAGCATCCACCATTAGAGAAGCTTGCATAGTGAGAAGGCAGGCTATCAGACAATTCTGATTCACAAGTACTTGGAGCTATGGCAGAAGCAAAGCTGACTCATGTACCTTTCTAAAAAAAAATGATCATGTTAGAATAATTATGGTCCCCCTTTGCCACTTCAGATACAAGCTTCTTGTCACGACTTTTATAGCCCTTTATGATTGCCGTACCAATCAGGTGCAGGATTTGAATCCAAACACTAACCACTATACAAAATTCGATTTAGAGGTTCCAATTACGACAAATTTCTTCTACTTACCTTAGCCCCAAACACTAAGTCATGGAGGCCTCCAAACAAGGGAGAGAAGCTTCAAAATAAGCAGAAAAACATTTCAAAAATTAATAAAGTATTTAAAATATTTGAGAGCTCAAAGTAATTTAGTCTCTAAAACTTCAACACTTAGTTTTCATGATGTCTGTTTGAGGACTCCTTTGTAGGCCCAATATATTTAGGACTGATATTGGCCTGGTTATGAAGTTATGTTTTCACATTGTTTAGAATTCACTGACAATACAAAGGCACCAAAAAGCTCACATCAAGACTCAGGTCCATACCTTGCTACATGAGTAACAAGAAAACAGGCCCTCCCCAGAGAACTCAGTCTTTGTTTATAATAATCAGCAACAAGTAGATTCATTGAACAAAGGATATTTCTGGGATGACAAGGTAAAAGTAAAACAAGTATGTTTTGCATATTAGCCAATAGTCTGAGTTTACCACCTGCCATGCCTAGCCAACATCACCTGTCAGTGTTTTGTAGGTGTCATGGCAGAAGTGAGTTGAGGATAAGGTGGCAGCTTTATTGATTTGATGGGAAGTTTTTTCCATGCATAATGGAAGAATTGATAATAGAGGTTTACATTGTTGATAGAGCAAAGTCCTTATGGCACTGATTTTCAGTTAAAAAAAAGCCAAAATGGCTTCTCCTTTAAAAAAAAAAAAAGGTTATATGTGACCATATATCACTAAAATTCTGAGAACAGCTTGAAACATATGTCTACCCTATGTAGCCTGTATCGCTATAATTAGGGCCCTACCAAATTCACAGTGCATTTTGGTCAATTTCATGATTTCAGATATTTAAATCTGAAATTTCATGGTGTTGTTATTATAGAGATCCTGACTCAAAAAAGGGTATGCAGGGGGGTCACAAGGTTATTGTAGGGGGAGCATGGTATTGCGACCCTTACTTCTGCGCTGTTGCTGGCAGTGGCATTGCCTTCCTAGCTGGGCAGCCGGAGAGCGTCAGCTGCTGCCCAGGAGCCCAGCTTGGAAGGCAGTGCCAGTGCCAGGAGCAGTGCAAAAGTAAGGATGGCCTGGTACCGTATTGCGACTGTTACTTCTGTGCTGCTGCCTTCAGAGCTGGGTCCCCTGCCAGCGGCTACCACTCTCCAGCCACCCAGCTTTCAAGGCAGTTCAGAAGTAAGGGTGGCAATACCACGATCCTCCTCCAATAACGTTGCAATCCCCTACCTTTTGGTTCAGGACCCCCAGTTTAAGTAATGCTTGTCTCCCCTGTGGAATCTTTATTTTATAGGGTAAAAGCACACAGAAGACCAGATTCCATGGTCTGTGATGCATTTTTTACAGCTGTAAATTTGGTAGGGCCCTAGGTATAACTATGCTCGCATAGCCCTGTAATGTAGATGCAACCTGTAACAACAGATTTGTTGTAGGAACATCACGTGCCTGAATGACACTGGTTATTTCGCAAAAAGAAAAGGAGGACTTATGGCACCTTAGAGACTAACAAATTTATTTGAGCATAAGCTTTCGTGAGCTACAGCTCACTTCTGAAAACTGGTTATTTTGACAGACCTCATTTTCTGTCAACATAGCTGTGCCTACACTGGGGTTTTTGTCAGCATAGCTATGGATATCAGTGGTGTAGTTTTTTCGCACCTCTAACTGAAGTAGCTATTCCAACCCAACTTAAATGTACACCAAGGATGTAACCCTTCTCTTGATAATCATGCTTAAGACGGATTTAAGACTAGATGATTCCTCTTACAGAGTAGTAGCCTCTTGGGGATGTTGTCAGGTTGATGGTGAGTCAGGAGTGCACATGGTGTCTCACTCCCACCGCCATGGGCTGGCCGGCAATATAGGTTCACCTCTGTGAAGCGAGTACTGGGCAAACCTTTGGTTTTGCAACACTTCCTTAAGCCATGGTTCTGCCCTAGTGCAATGTCAGCGTGCAATGCAGGATTTAGTGGACACCTTCAGATCTCTTGTCCTCTTGGTCTGGTCGGGAAGGAAACTAAAGCGTTACCCAGCCGGGCCTCTTCTGCCCGCACTTTATTGGGGGCCGAGGGTGACAGACCCGCCCCGCTCTGCTGCAAAGGGGCGTGTGTGGGTGGGGGGGCTACACAGGGAGGGGCAGCTCTCTCCGCCTCTGACCCCTCGGGGGAAGGACAGATGGACCCCCCAGCCCATCCCCTCCGCAACCGCTCGGAGCCGTCACCTGCCCCGTCCAGGCAACACCACCCTGCGAGGCACGAGGCCGGGCCGAGGCCAGCCGCGCAACACGGAAGGCAGCTCCCGCTCCGCGCTGCCACGGCCCCGCCGCTCTGTCCACAGCAGCTCCGCCCCAGCAGCGCGTGCCAGGGCCCCTGACTGACGAGCAGGACAGCCATTCCCGCCTATGCCCGTGGCCCAAGGAGCGAATGGGTGGGATTAGCCTGGGCCAATCGGGAAGAAAGGTGAGGGGGAAGGCGGGGCCACCGCTTGAGTGGCAGCTCACGAGATAAACAAGTTCCAGGCAGCACCAGAGTCCTTCCCCTCCCCCCCCCAGCCGAAGGGCTGAGGCGGCAGCTGCGGCGCAGGTATGGAGCACGGTCTCCCTACGAACCCCACCTCATGCAGCCGCTGCTCCCCCTCAGCCGGGCAAAGTGAAGAGTCAGCAACTTCCCAGCGCCCGCTGAAACGCTCAACAGCCCAGGGAGACCAGAGCGCAGGCGCTGACAGGGACAGGGTGTTAAGGGACATGCTGGGAAATGTAGTTCGCCCACCGCCGCCTGCCGCCAGGGGCCCTCGGACCCCTGCCGCCAGCTGTACTACCAGTCCCAGAATGCTCCGCGCGACGCTGCGAGCCGCCCCAGTTGAAGCGGGTGGCGGCGGAGGGGAGCAAAAAAAAAAAAAAAAACCCACACAACAACAAAAAACAAAAAAAACACACCGCAACCCAAAACAAGGAAATGGTGCAGGGAGGGGGTTCCCGGCGCTGGGGGCGCTGATCCCGCCGCGCCCCCCTCCCCCATGGGTGAGCCATGGATTACGAGTTCAAATCCAAGCTGGCGGCCGAGCGCGAGCGGGTGGAGGATCTGTTCGAGTACGAGGGCTGCAAAGTGGGGAGAGGCACCTATGGGCACGTCTACAAAGCGCGGCGCAAGGACGGGTAAGAGGGGAGGCGGCGCTGGCACGGAACGGGGGCTCCTGGCTCGGTCCCCCGGCTCTCCTGGGGCGGCGGGGAGCCGGGGGCGGCCGCGGTGCCGTGAGTCCCTGGGTGTGCTCCCCCCCCCCCAGCCGCCCTTGATGCTCGACCGCAGGCTCCCGGGGCACCATCTCGACCCCGCAGCTTCGCGCCGTGGGGCGGGCGCGGGGGAGGCTGCGGTTGTCGGTGGCCCCTGGGGGCAGGGGCTGGCGGTGACAGCGGGGCTGGGCGGGGCTGGCTGCCGCGCCCCCCGCCAGTGGGAATTCCCAGAAATCCCCGCCTGCCCCACATATACAGGGGAGCGCGGCTTGCGGGGAATCGGTAGTTGTGCGGCGAGTCCGGGTGCGAAGGGGGAGCTGGCGGTGCCTGTGTGTGTGTGTGTGTGTGTGTGTGGACGACATAGGACAAGGGGCGTGTGAAGGTGGGGTTGGCTTTGGGGGGGACAGTGGGAGGGAGAGAGCCAGGGTGTAAAGGTGGGGGGCAGTGGGAGGGAGGGGACAATTCTGGGGTGAAGATGGGGGTTGGTTGTGGGAGGGGGACAGCCCTGGGGTGAAAGTGGGGAGTGTGTGTGTTGGTGGGTGAGCAGTATCAGGGAGATTGGGGAGAGCCCTTGTGCATGTGTGGGGGGGGTAGTAGGAGGGGGGTGTGGGGGAGTCAGGGTGTCCTGATTGGGGTAAGGGCTTGAGGATGACCTGTGGTAGCCTTGGTAGTAAAGTATGTGTGTGTGTCTCAGTGTCCCTTTCTCCCTGCAAAAGATGGGCACCAGCAATTTTCTGCCCCATGCTCCACCCAGTAACTTTACTGTTTCACTTGAAGTCATGAGGGATGGTGAGGCAAAGGGAAAAATAGGCTAAATAACCTAACTCTTGAAAAAGTTTTGTAAACGTTGTATTAAAGTAGAAAATCCAGCTTTCAAAAAACTTATTTACAAAACATGACTTTGTGTGGAGGTGGTGGTGGTGGTGAGATGCAGGTGCAACTCCACTGACTGGTACATCCGGGCTTCATATAGCTCATAAATGTGCTAATTAAGCACTTATGTTCAGGGCCCCAAGCAGGCCCTGAGTGTTTTAGCAAAAAAAAAAAAAAAAGACAAAGCTAACAAACAACCCCGTTCCACACAAATAAACCAAATTAAAGAGTATTCTGGGTATGTTCATGCTAGCCAGTGTGTTCTGTATGGGCTGAGTGGAGGTCTCTGTCAAGTGTTGCGTCAAATATCTTATTTTGTTTTTGAATAAATATTTTCATCCCCAACCTCAGAATTGTTAAGGATATGAAATTTGTTAGTTGCTCAGTAATGTGGTGGTGGTAAGTGTCCCTTATCCATTTTGTGATACATTTAATAGCACAGTCTAGTACAAATTGAGTGAAGTGGTGCTAAAAAGTTAGGTTTTCTTGTTGTCCTAGTGAGGTAATTCAGTATGTCTACTAAATGTGTGAGGTTTTTAAATATGGAAAATCCCCTAGGGGTATTGTGTGCTACCTGAACACAGAAGGTGCCAATGCTTCATCAAAATTATTTTTAAAATCCAAAAGAATGACCTGCTGTGAATGCTTCTACTTTTCCAATCACTACTGTGTAGAACTGTGCTGTAGTTTCTAATAAGTCTGGTAATTGTTAGATGTTAGCCCTGGCTGGGATGATTTAGTTGGGGATTGGTACTGCTTTGAGCAGGGGGGTTGGACTAGATGACCTCTTGAGGTCCCTTCCAACCTTGATATTCTATGATCCATACTAGCTGATAGCTAGGCCGAGAATGAGATGTGCTGCTCTCCTTCCTATCATGCTGCACGGGTGGGATTGTAGTGCCCTAGCTAGCTGTTACTATTCCTTGCTCATCTCATTTCATTGTATTGCAATTCTGTGATTAAAACTTAGCTGTATCTAAGGTTTTAAAAAATCAAATGTTGATGCACACTTCAGACAGCATGAATATTTGCTGGAGAATATAATTCTAAACACCTCATTCAAATCACTCAGACCTATAGGAACATAGGATAGTGTTCAGTGTTTTTTTTTTTTTTTTAAAACAAAACTATTATGTGTGTTGTGTGTGTGTGTATAAGGGTGTATTTACATAGCTGCTCTGTACACATTCAGTTTTTAAAGACACTTGTAAGTTCTTATCTTTCCACGGATGACTAATTCTATGTAGACTTCCATCAGTATAGTCAAGTGGAGTTTTGGAAAAGCAACAGGATGTTAAAAATACAAACTGATTATCATTTAAATTCCATTATCACTTTACAAAGGAATGACTGTGAACACAGTGGTTAGAGTTCTGTCCAGTGCAGTGCTGTGGAGGGCAATCTGTATTGGGTTCAGTTTTAACACATTCCTCTGTGATCTCCTGGTACAGGTAAATAGCTTGTTAGAGTAATCTAAATTTGCAAGTTTCAGAGTAACAGCTGTGTTAGTCTGTATTCGCAAAAAGAAAAGGAGTACTTGTGGCACCTTAGAGACTAACCAATTTATTTGAGCATAAGCTTTCATGAGCTACAGATCACAGTATGCATCCGATGAAGTGAGCTGTAGCTCACGAAAGCTTATGCTCAAATAAATTGGTTAGTCTCTAAGGTGCCACAAGTACTCCTTTTCTTTTTGCTAAATTTGCAAGACACATTAAGGCTACGTCTACACTAGAGAGCTTACAGTGGCACCAATGCAGCTGCACCACTGTAAGATCTCTCGTGTAGCGCTTTGTGCCGTTAGGAGAAAGTTCTTCTGTGAACATAATGAAACCACCTCCAACGAGCAGCGGTAGCTGTGTCGGTGGAAGAAGCTCTCCCACTGACATAGAGCTGTGCACACTGCTACTTACAGCAGAGAAACTCATGTCACGTGGGGTGGTGTTGGTGTTTTGTTCACACCCCTGAGTGGAGCGACATAAGTTTTGCCAACATAAGTGGTAGGGTAGACGTGGTCTAAGTTAGTAGGGTATAATGCTGAGGCTAGACTAATAGTTGAGAGACTGAGGACTGGCCCAAGTCCACGACTGAGAGTCAGAAAATCTGATTCCAGCTCCAAAGCTGACTGCTGTAGCCTTCAGCATAAAGTCTAGTTAATTTCAAAAAGAGAATTTAAAGGAGTTCCAGTTACTACAGGTGACCCTGAGCTCCCCTGATAATTTTGGTGATTTTACAATTACATTTTCCTTTTTTATGGCTCTTCTCACCCTTGTTACTGCGTGAAAAATCTTTGGAAACAATAAGAAATAATAGTTTAACTGACTATACTCACAGTGCTGTCAAACACATCAGGTAAACTGAAAAAATCTTTGTTATAATAATCCTTTGAGTTACTTGTAAGAGTTGGTTCCCCCCCCAAGTATAATTTTTCTGTCTTAAACTTAAAAGTTGTTTGTACACCTTCAGTTTTTCCATTTGTAAAATGGGGATATTGCTCATATACTTTAAATGGGTGTTGGAAAGATTATAAGGGACTTGTACCTAGAGTCATTAAAATGTTAGAAATATTGGCAGGAAATAAAATGAGACTGAACTTCAAACAATGGTAGCTAATACATCTGTGTGAGAAATGATCCAAAAACTACACTGGACACGAGAAAGAGGAACTGGAAAGAGATGATGATGAAAAGGACTTAAAGGTGATAGTGGACAGTAATATGTTGCCAAAAATGCCAATCAGGGTGGATAAAAATCAATGATTTAAAAAAATAATAAAAAAATCGGATTTTTTTTGATAAAATGCTTTTTGAGGAAAAAATCTATCTAAAGATAGTTTTAATTAAAATACATTATAGCTCAAAGATATCTCATCATGGAATAGGGATTATAAATTCTAATTCTATAGTATGAGACAATATAGTCATGTAATGTTTGAGAAAAGTTTTGTAAATGAGTTCCAATAGTTCATGGATTAGGGACCCAATCTTATAGAGTTCCAGGGGCTTCTGTATAGATTATTTAGGTTATTCTTTCTATCTACCCAACAGGATTCAGTGCTCAGTCTAGAAGATACCATCAGAGATGCTTAGTTTTGCAGTTCTCAAACTGTGGATTTGTGTCTCCAGAGATAACATGCTTGTTAACAGCAAAAATGTTTTAAATAAATAAATAAATGATATATCGAGGTGAGAAATAAACCTCAACCCAATTGTCCCTCTTTAATTTTGTGTACACAGAGTCAATCCCTTACCTCTCTCTCAAAGTGCAAAGTTTCAAAAAGTACAATGAATAGAAGATTGTTGGGGGCGGAATAGATCTGAACAAGGAGAAGAAGTCTGGAGATAAATGTGAGAAGGGAGTGACGGGCATTAGAAATAAAAGTGAAACTGAGCAGCATATTCCTGTAGTCTTGAAGTCTTTCTGAGTGTGGCCTTCATTGCTTTGAGATCTACCATACCATTCTCTCACTAGAAGGGAAAACCTGTAATGGCAGCAGGCTGTAAA